ATTGTACAGTGGCATTAAGTGCCGTTACGTGCACGTACGTATCCCTTCGGGGATAAAAGGCGTTATGTTATTTATTGTTTGATAATGCATTTTTCATTCTATTTTCTCTTGACTCTCTAAAACAGAGATCCTGCGTTTTTCGACTCAGTTAATTAATTTCTTCTTTATTTCTTTGTTCAGGTGTCCTAGGCTTCCTTCGGGCATAAAAGGCGTGATGTTATATAGAGTGATATCGTACCTGCTAGCCAGCTGTTTGTAGTGAGCATAGACCTGCTCAGACAGTTTATATACGAACTGATCGAAGCATAGATTGACTTCCGCTTCGACTTCGTCATAGAGGAACTGTTTCCGGAATACTGTCAGCGCGTATTGCGCTGAATCGTTGTATAAATCTAGTGGGTAGAGCACGTATCTGGAAATAAAGACTTAGGTTAATTGCAATAAGGATTATTTTTGTTTAACTTTTTTATGGTATAGGAGGTAAACGAGGAGACTGATCACCTGATAGTAAGCGATCAGCGCCGCCCATGGACACCCGCAACACCAGAGGAGTCACAGGTGTGTTGCCGGCCTTTTAAAAAGGAATACGCTATTTTCTTGAAGGTTTGAAGGTCGTATCGGTTCGGAAATACCGCCGACGACAGATCATTCCACAGTTTGGCTGTACGAGGCAGGAAGCTACGTGAGAAGCGCACAGTAATGGCCTGCCAACCATATATATGATGGGGATGTATATTCTGTCGTGAGGGTCGATGGCGAAAAGATGCGGCAGGTATCAGGTCAAACAATTCCTCAGAGCACTCCTCGTGGTATAAGCCAGGGATGACCAAACAAAGGCCCGCGGCCCGCGACACATATTTTAATCTCAACATCTTCATCTTATGTACAACAACAATAATTAAAGTTCAGTGTATGATTAGTATACAAGTTCAGTCTGTGAGTGAAGAGTACAATGACTGCACGGTTGGCGCGTTGGCTGGGCAACTGGCTGCCGCGCAACGTGTCGCGGGTTCGATTCCCGCACGGAACAATTCTTTGTGTGATCCACAGATTGTTATTCCGGGTCTGGGTGTCATGTGTTTGTGAACTTATATGTTTGTAAACGTACCCACGACACAGGAGAAAATCCTAGTGTGGGGCAAGGTTTAAAAAAAAAAAAAATAAATAAATAAAAAATAAATGTTAAACGTCATTATACAACTGAAAATATATTTCTGGCCCTTCAGCTTTTGTTAGAAATTTAATTAGCCGATTACCGAGTAACTCATCGTAACCCACTATTTCGAACCCTTTTGATGATATAGCAGCTAGGGCTTTATGCAACTCAGCATTTAATCAATTTACAATTGCATTGTATAATGACATTAGATAGCCAGTCTAATCGCGATCACTAAATAACATCCTGTATTGACTAATTAAACTGTCAAACACCAAGCGGTCACCGGTAACCGCAACCTATTGTTCTATAATTGTGTCTATAATGACGGTACTCGACGAGTTAAATTGTAATTAATAAATAAATATTTTTTTAATCAAAATCCCGACCGCCGAAACATAACTCCCGCGAGGGAATTTTTTATTTTGAGGCGGGAGGGAGTGTCAGACTCTTACTGAAAAAACCACCCCGTTCCTTCTCCTGCACGTCGAGCCGGAGCCCCGGTTACACGTTAGGTTCTCCGCGAGGGTATATAGTATGGACAGCCCTGGTATAAGCGATAGAAAATGTACAACGAAGGTACATCACTACGCATTACTAAAGCGTCTAGCCGGTTTGAAACATCCCGACATCCAACAATCCGAACTACACAACTGACGCAGTATCTGAGCAACTGTATTGGTTCATGGTAGATGTCCCACCCACACGTACGAAGCGCCTCGCATCAAGTTTCTGAATTGAAGCTTCTGAAGAATTGTTTGCCAGAGTCTGTATTTCCTGAAGGGTATAACCTGGGAGTCTTTAAGGCCCGAGTGAATAGGTTGCTTATGGGACGACGTGCTCCATCGTAGACCGCGTCATCGTGCACCACCAGGCGAAATAGTTAAAGGTCAGCCCAACAAATCCTTACTAATATTATAAATCGGTAAGTGAGTTTTTTTGTTTGTTTGTTCCGCTTTTACGCCGTAACTACTAAACCGATTGCTTTGAATTTTTGCAGAAGTAAAGTTAGAAGTCTGGATTAAATAATAGGGTACTTTTTATCCGAGAAAAATTTGATATTGCCGAGGGAAAACAAAAGTATTGGTATAGATGGCGCTGTGTGTATTGGTATATGTCACATAGGTCACTTTTTATCCTTTTGTGACGCGAGCGAAGCCGCGGGTAAAAGCTAGTATATATATAAAAAAAAGACCCGAGCGTACGGCGCATCGCGATCCGCGCGCGCCTCAAAGAGCCATCAGCCCACCACAGATAGGGCCCAATAGGGCCGATGCCGATTCGGAGTCGCGGAGAACCTAACGGGTAACCGGGGCTCCGGCTCGACGTGCAGAAGAAGAAACGGGGTGGTTTTTAGTCAGTAAGAGTCTGACACTCCCTCTCGCCTCACCCAGGCGGGAGCAGTCATTCGATGATTTTCCCCCCTTAAAAAAAAGTATATATATAAAAAGACTTACTCCATCATAGCCGGTTCCTTAGTCCTGAGTATATGGTCGGTCAGTATCCAGGGCATCGACATCTCGATGGGGAATTGGATTCGTTTCTCCATCGTGATCAAATCGTTGCACTCCTCGTTGTGCTGGTGATGAACTGTGCATTTCTGTGGACAAAAATACGATCAAAATTACTATAAGTACCCAGCGACTGTTAATTTTATATTTTATCCATATCAGGCAATGTATTACACGCACCGTCAAATCTATTTCGTTTTCGTCCCGCAGCAATACATCATTCATAACATCACGCCTATTATACACATTACGACACTTAATGCCACTGTACAATGTAACACCCACGTTTCACTATTTATGTTATGAGTCCCATGTAATAGGGGGTGAGCCTATTGCCATATACTTGGCACCATTTCAGACCCCGTGCTACTACTGAGAGTTTAAAAAAAACCAGTAATACTTTGCCTGAGACCCCTCGCCCGGCAGTCGCACTTACGACCACTCGGCCAACGAGGCGAAGGAAAAACCACAATATTAAATTCTACTTACGTTCACTTTGCGTCCCATTGTCATCTCAAGATAGAACTCTCGGTACCACAGCTGGGACAGGTCGCAACACTTTTGTAGAGAATCTGAAAATAAAATTCAAATTTAAGTGTGGGAGAGCCATGCTTCGGCACTGCTGGGCCGGCTCGACCGGAGTGATACCACGGCCGAGCAGAAAACCGACGTGAAGCAACGCTTGCGTTGTGTTTCGTCGTGTGAGTGAGGTTACCGGAGGCCCAATCACCCCCCCCCCCCTCGCCCTTCCACAATCTCCCTAATCACTGTATCCGCAACAATCTTCAAATTCCAAATCCTCGAAAAGCCGGTAACGCACTTGTAACGCCTCTGGTGTTCCAGGTGTCCATGGGCGACGCCGATTGCTTACCATCAGGTGATCCGTCTGCTCGTTCACTGGCTTATACCATAAAAAAAAGAAAAAAGCCCCCTTTCCTAAAGATGGTTACCATAATACACACACTTGGCAAACAGTTTGCGGGGGTAAAACTTCCCGCTTATCATAGATCCATCCATTTTAGACCAAACTAAATGTGTTCGACACTCCGGGCGTCGGGGATCGCGGGACGATCTCCGGCCACCGTCAGCGCGGGCCTGCCAAAGTGCCATCAGCCAAACGCCACCTTAGCGCTTGTCTATCGAGAGCGTAGAAATCAAAATGTATGGGGATGACACTGACAAGTGTCAAAATTTACGTCAATTCCATATAATTTGGTTTTCTATTCTAGAGGTACAAGTAGACAAGCGCTAAATGGCATTTGGCTACAGCTGCTGGACCAGACCCGGCTACCAAATACGGCGCCGAGCGTTCCGTGACACAAGGAGACATTATACCACCACGGATGGAGCCCAATGGGGCTGATGCCGATACGGAGCCGCGGAGGACTTAACAGGTTACCGGGGCTCCGGCTCGAAGTGCAGGAGTATCAACGGGGTAGTTTTTAGTCAGTAAGAGTTTGACACTCCCTCTCGCCTAACCCGAGATAGGAGAACGATTATCCCTGCTTAAAAACAAAACAACCATAATCCCCAAGTCTGGCTAACAGTACGGTGATTAAGATTTCTACTCACCAGATAGATTCAGCAGATAACCCCAATAGAAACTAAGTCGATGGAAGGTTTCAATCTGCGTCAGGGTTCCAGCATCCAGGTCTTTGCGCAAAGTACGTCTTCCGCCAGACTTGTCAGAAATTAGGGCTTCTAGTTGGGTGCGTACCATGTATAGTTGGGTTGACGAGGGGCCTGTAGATAAAGAGGTAAAGAAAAAATATTAAACACGTATTTTTTTATACTGTCGAATAAGAAAACAATACTTATATAAAACGAATCAAATAGTTGCTCCGGCAAGCATGCGAAAGGGCAAAGCATGGGCCGACGTTTGCCCACTATCTCGCCTGGTGGTGCACGATGATGCAGTCTACGATGGAGCACGTCGTCCCATAAGCAACCTATTCACTCGCGCCTTGAAGACTCCCAGGTTATACCCTTCAGGAAATACAGACTCTGGCAAACAATTCCACTCCTTAGCAGTGCGCACAAGGAAGCTTGATGCGAAGAGCTTCGTGTGCGAAGTGTGTATGTTAATTACTCAATCAAAACGGTTGCAGGGATCGGGATGAATGGAACAAAGCTAGATTATGATCTGCAATAACACATAGGACACGTTTTAGCAAACGGAAACGCAGGCGAAGCCGCTGGCAGAAACTAGTTTATACGCAGTAATTACATAACATAACATCACGCCTTTTATCCCCGAAGGGGTAGGCCGAGGTGCACATTACGGCACTTAATTCCACTGTACAATGTAACACCCACTTTTCACTATTTATGTTATGAGTCCCATGTAATAGGGTGTGCCTATTGCCATATACCGGGCACAGTTGCAGACTCCGTGCTACTAGGTACTGAGAATTTTATAAACCTAGTTATACTTGGCCCGACACGGGAATCGAACAAACTCTTGCCCAGCACTTGCGACCATTCGGCCAATGAGGCAGTCGTAATAATAATAATTTAGATTAAAGTTGTCTAAAGGGCCTCTGCGCAGTTGGCTTCGGCCCCTCGTACGCCTCCCAAATGACCGGGACCCTGTGGTCCCGTCAGGGGTAAAAACATACATAATAATTAGGATGATGACAGGGTATGAAAATTAAAAATCTAATTAGTCGGTAAGTTAGGTAATGACAAAATATTAGACACGTATTTTATTATTTTGTCGTAATGAAATAATATTTAGATAAAACGAATCAAAGTTTAGGAGTGGGGGCAAAAACGTCATTCCTACGTATAAAATGTACATAGAAGTGACGTCACGCGACATTTCAAATCAATATATCGTCGAAGGTATTCGTTTCTGTAAGAAAATAAAAAATACGTGTCTAATGATTTAAAATAATCTACCAGACGGACCTTAAAATAAAAATTAGGCATCTACCCTATTATGTGGATTATAACTATGTG